CGATAGTTTATTCATGAAACTTTTTTTGTTCATAAGTTTTTTATAAACAATGAGCGACGGCTAAAACTTTTAGAAACGTACTCAGGAAGATCATATTTACAATATATCAAAACGAGAAGCCGATCGGAGGGGGCTCCCCTATTCTGTACATTTACCGAAGTAACACTGTTATTGAAAATATATTTACGAAAAAAAAGAAAACTATTTAAAAAAATGAATGAAGAAAATATCGAAATTCATTTTATAGATGAAACAGGCACGAAATATGGCATAAAAGTATGACCTCTTCCACATAATTCTTTAGCCTTGGAATTCTCTTTTGATATGTTACATTCAAATGAATAAGGCCTGGTTTATGCGGGCAATAACTGTTAACTTATGCCGGAACCGGTAGAGTTTAATTATAGGATTTCAATACTTCTGTTTATACGCTTTCGGCAATTTTGTATAAACAGAAGCATTGAAATCCTATAGTTAAACTATACCGGTTCCGGCATAAGTTAACAGTTATTGCCCGCATAAACCAGGCCTAAGAGCATCTAAATCTTCTTCGCTATCAGACGATGAAGATGAATTTTCTAATTTTCTTAAAACAAGTAATAAAATAAGAAATAGTTGTGTGTCAAGTTGACCTCAAGGTTCAGAAATAAATAATTGGTATCCAGGAAAGAGGCGTTACTGAACAATTTGCTAGATGATATGCAGATGTGTTATATTTTGAAAAAATTATTACAGACGTTTCGACTATACATTTTTAGTCTTCATCAGTGTTCTGTGTAATAACAAAATTGGTAACATAGAGAATTATTTGATGTCGTGTAAACTACAAAACTAAAATTAAAAATAAAATTGCAACTTACCAATTTATAATCACCATCAAAAATAAGACGACGAGTATAATAATTTAAAAGATGTTATCAAATTATAAATAGATGTTGTCGAGTCAAAGTCGTCGTCTAAACTAAGTATGATGATAAGAGAAATCGAAGAAAGCACGTTTACAAATGATTGAGTAGAAACGTTGCTTTATGATGTTTGTAGCGGTAAAATTGAAATGGTCATAGGAAAGATACATTACTTAATTTTGTCCAATAACGGTAAATATATATTGTCTAACATGTCTGTGTCTTGCATTTTATTAAGACTTTGTGTTTGCAATTTAATGTGCAACATTTCAGACGTGAGTCTTTTAACTCCACACAAATATTAGACTTAGAATCAAATTACATTAAAAGACTCACGTCTGAAATGTTGCACATTAAATTGCAAACACAAAGTCTTAATAAAATGCAAGACACAGACATGTTAGACAATATATATTTACCGTTATTGGACAAAATTAAGTAATGTATCTTTCTTATGACCATTTCAATTTTACCGCTACAAACATCATAAAGCAACGTTTCTACTCAATCATTTGTAAACGTGCTTTCTTCGATTTCTCTTATCATTATACTTAGTTTAGACGACGACTTTGACTCGACAATATCTATTTATAATTTGATAACATCTTTTAAATTATTATACTCGTCGTCTTATTTGTGATGGTGATTATAGATTGGTACGTTGCAATTTTATTTTTAATTTTAGTTTTGTATTTTACACGACATCAAATAATTCTCTATGTTACCAATTTTGTTATTACACAGAACACTGATGAAGACTAAAAATGTATAGTCGAAACGTCTGTAATAATTTTTTCAAAATATAACACATCTGCATATCATCTAACAAATTGTTCAGTAACGCCTCTTTCCTGGATACCAATTAAGTAATAAAATATTCATCAGTCTTTTTCTTTGGTCAGCCATATTTCACTAAAGTAACGTTCGGGGAGCTCAAAAGCATGAGCTTCTTTTAATCTCCTCGAACACACCTGTCAGCGTTAGCGTCTGTTGCGCGATAGCGCGCTCTTCGAACGCAGCCATTATCTTATCTTCAAGGCGGTTATCTGAAGCCGTCTATAAACGCGCCTTTGCTTTGCCCACATGTGACGTCATGTAGATGATATTATCTTTGCTTCAAGATAGTTGTCTGAAGCCGTGTCTATAAGCAGAGAGAAACCTGAGAGCGGCCATCC